AAAGGGTCCGCCAGGCCTAAGCCTTACCGGAGAACAACCGAAACAAACATTCCCAAAAGAAAACAAGACCAACAGACATGCAAACCAATAAACCTGAAACATAAAAACTTGAAAGACAAAAACAGCCGAATCTATACTAATTTATCACCTACCCGGGGTAATACCCCCTCTGTCCCTCGACTAACACGTCGAGGTGGACCCATGTCCGCCTACTTCTGGACACTCTCCCACCCTCCAACCCTTTGCTTTCCTACAGTTCAGGTTTGTACCCACTGAGCTAGGCTCTTGGGTACCAGCACTTTTTTGCACTTCTTCATGGACGTACGTACGGTCAGGTGGATCCATGTGGGGTGGGAAAAGCTGTCCGTACACATACAGTAAAGTCCTACCCATCTTGACCCGATCAGAACGCCCGGTCATTATAGCTGCATTTGGCACACCTTTCAGTCCCCCTACAGGGATAATGAGCTGCGTCGTTCTATTCGGGGGCAAGGTCACACTTGCACGGACTACCGGTAGGAGATTTCGGCCGTTGATCTTTGCTCTCTACGGTCAGTATCTCTTAATGCGTGCAAGTGGGACCTGGCGCCGGGTAACCCCGGTAGTGTGAGTATGCCCTGCTAAGTATCGGCTGATAGGGGTGCAGTGCGAGTATGCCCTGGTAAGTATGGCCTGACTGATAGGGGGGTGTTTTATTTTATTTACGCGGCTGATAGGGGTGTTTTATTTACACGGGTGCGGTGGAAGCTGGGTTGTCGGTGTGTCAATAATAACACCCTTGACTCGGAAATAGGGGTTGATAGGCACCTTCGCTGTAGTGTCGAAGGGGTGGCGGCGGTCTATCATCATCATCGAGCCGCAGCAGCGTCGTGCTTTCTAAACGAAGGAGCCACGTGGCGGCTTCTGAGACGACGACTGGCCTGTGTCTGAAGAAGCCTCTGTATATCGGGATCGCTTCCGGTTTATACGAACCAATCTCAAGCAGGTGAAGAAGCTGATGCTAGTTAATTAATCAATCAATCAATCCATCAATGGCGCAGCAATGATCGGCAAAGATTTGGACCAGGATTAGCAGTCGGGGCCGGTGGACAAGGAGTTTATCAACGGCGGCGTGGATTGATTGACTATACACGTCAGATTTGCCGCGTTGATTGATTGTGTGCACGTCAGATTTGCCGCGTTGGTTAATTGTTGTACACGTCAGGTTTTCCACGTTGATTGATTGTATACGGTAGATTTGTCGCGTTGAGTGATTGTACACGTCGGATTTCCCGCGTAAATTGCTTGCACACGTCGTATCTGCCGGGTTGAATGACTGTGTACGTAAGATTTCCCACCTTAAATTGCTTGAACACGTCACGTTTGTCCTGAAAATTTACTGTGCACGTCTGATTTCCCGCGTTGATTACTATAGGTAGTGAGCGGATTGTACAGATGATGGTCGGTATCGGGATAAATGAATTTCGAGCGGGAAAGACCTTCAAAAGAGAGTCGAAACGCTCACTACCAATGGGCTGCACTTGGTTGTTGATGCGCGCAGAACGCCTGACCGGGAATTACTTACAGTAATATTGGCAGGAAAGGGGCGGTGCCTGAAGAACCCCTGACCGGAAATCAGGACTGGCGGTAAAGCATGAACGGCGAGAAATCAGGAGTGGCGGGAAGTAAGGATTGGCGGGAAAGGGGCGGTGCCTGAAGAACCCCTGACCGGACATCAGGATTAGCGGGAAATCAGGATTGGCGGGCAATCAGGATTGGCGGGAAAGGGGCGGTGCCTGAAGAACCCCTCACCGGACATCAGGATTAGCGGGAAATCAGGATTAGCGGGAAATCAGGAGGGGAGTTTAAGCAGGGGGGAGGGGTTAAGCAGGAGTGGGGTTTTAAGCAACAGTGGCGGGAAATCAGGAGTGGCGGGAAACAGGGGGTGGAAAGAGCGGGTAGAGTATCACATTGAGAATCTGAAGGCCATCACAGGAGGAAGAGCCAGGTGTTTTTTTTTTTCTTTCCATGTTGTAAATTTTAATTGTAATGAAAGAGGGGAGACCGAGGTGTTGAGCTCGCTACCATTCATTGGTAGAAGGAAGTGCATGCTCACACTAGGACCATTTCGACGCAGGTCAGGACGTAATTGCGGTCAGATACATTCATGACTGGCGGTAATTATGGTCAGATCATCCAGAAGAATCCTAGATGGTCGTAATTGAAGGAGCGTGTATCATCGTAGCGAAGGGAAGAGTTAATTATTGGGCAACGACTTTCGGGTAAGAGAGAGAGAGAGAGAGAGAGAGAGAGAGAGAGAGAGAGAGAGAGAGAGAGAGAGAGAGAGAGAGAGGGGGGGGGGACGGAGCGGAAAGGAAAGAAAGAAAAAGGCAAAAGTCGAGATGAGAAGTTTTCTTTTCTTTTAGTTAAATTTTTAAGGACTTGTTTTCCTTTTTTTAAAGGAGATGAAAAGTTTATGGAGGGGAAAAAATAAAAACAACGCGCGAAGATGTCGAGTCGCGACCGCAGTGTCGAGGTCGAGATCTGGACGACCGCGAGTAGCAGTAGTAGTATTTGATCTTTGATTACTTCTTGCATTTTTTTTTGTAATTATTTTGTTGTGGTAACAAAGACACTATTATTCTCTCCGTGTACGTATTCCTGATTTTTTGATTTTGTAATAAAAATTTTGAAATAAGGGAAGGGTAATCTTGCCTGCATTTCTTTTGCA